AGATAAAGAAAACCCAGTGAACTCACCGCATTGCTTTTCTGCAAGTCCTGACGTCCCTAGTCAGCTCATCATCTTCTTTCCAGCTTTCAGAGTCCTTTTATCATAGTCTGTTGACTACTTTCCAAGGTATTTTGTTGTATTTAGAGGAGAAGAGGAGGAACAAGTGATTTTATACCATCTTGTTCTGAAACCATAAGCCCTTGACTTTTAAAGGAAGCAGTGGTTAGTGACTTATTCAAAAGGCAGGAAAAATGGAGTAAGAAACTGATCAGTGGCCAGGCGCAATGGCTCACACCTGTAATCCCAGCGCTTTGGGAGGCCAAGTCAGGGGGATTGCTTGAAGTCAGGAGTTCAAGACCAACCTGACCAACATGGTGAAACCCTGTCTCTACTAAAAATACAAAAACTAGCCGGGCATGGTGGCGGGCGCCTGTAATCCCAGCTACTCGGGAAGCTGAGGCAGGAGAACCACTTGAACCCAGGAGGCAGAGGCTGTAGTGAGCTGAGATCGTGCCATTGCACCCTAACCTGGGCGACAGAGTGAGACTCCATCTCAAAAAAAGAAAGAAAGAAAGAAACCAATCAGTATTAACTCCACCAAATAGAGAAATGCTACTTACTGGTTCTTAACTATCTGATTAAAAATGGGCTTTGTTCATACGCTGAGCTCTGCAGTTATTAAAGAAATCAAGTGTTATCATTGTTTGGATGCATGGTCCTGTGATTGGTAGCATAAATGATGTGATGCTGGATAAGTGGATACACAATTTCATTGGCCACATGTTTTAAAGCATGTATTTGAATATACAATTGGCTAATATATCTGAGCACTGACTATAAATGACAGATGGTTCTAACTTTCTTAAACCCATCTTCCTAGGGGAGTGAAGTGGATAGCCGGGAAGGTTACAAATCAGTGGATTGAAAATGGCAAACAGGAATAACTCACTACCTAATTCTGCCCAGCTGATACCAAACACTGTCCTGAAAGAGCCAAAGACATTACTAATTGAATCTAAATTCAATAGAAGAGTGCTGCGATCAATTAGTAATGTCTTCCACAGTGCAGGAATGGGCATTGGCTGCACATATGCCATCTATTTAACAGGTCTGACCTAGAAAATTCCTCCAGAGAGCACATCCTCTCCGGTTGTAGATACAGGCAGCCAACATCTATGTTTGAAGACCCAAGGATTTAAAAAGGTCCGTCTTAAGGGGGTTGTAATAAGGAGATTTATTAGTGTTGGGCCCAGAGTGATGGACTTTTTCCAAAATTTTGCCCAGGGGCTCAGAACATATGGACTGCTAGTTGAAATGGGGTTTGGAATTGCATTTACACACATTCCGCCAATAAATATTTGAACACAGGTGCATTTTTTCACAATAGTTTTCTGCATGAACTGCAAAAATGCCTTCCAAATAACCTCTGTCTCTGGGGCCCTCCCTTCCTACTCCCATAAATCTGGTAGCTGACAAACAGCTGTAGACACAGCTTGTCTTGGGGGTGGGGGTGCTGCCTTAACAGGAAATAAAGCAAGGATCACTTTTGTTTTTTGAGACAGGGTCTGAATCTGTTGCTCAGGCTGGAGTGCAGTGGTGCAATCAGAGCTCACTGCAGCCTCCACCTTCCTCGGCTCAAGCAATTCTCCCACTTCAGCTTCCCGAGTAGCTGGGACCACAGGGGCATGCCACCATGCCCAGCTAATTTTAAAATTTTATCGTTATTTTTTGAGACACAGTCTCACTCTGTCGCCAGGCTGAAGTGCAGTGGTGCGATCTTGGTTCACTGCAACCTCCGCCTCCCAGGTTCAAGCGATTCTCCTGCCTCAGCCTCCCGAGTAGCTGGGATTACAGGCGCCCGCCACCATGCCCGGCTAATTTTTGTATTTTTAGTAGAGATGAGCTTTCACCTTGGCTAGGATGGCCTTGATCTCTTGACCTCGTGATCCACCTGCCTCGGCCTCCCAAAGTGCTGGGATTACAGGGTGAGCCACTGCGCCCTATTTTTAATTAATTAATTAATTACTATATTTGAGACAGTCTTGCTCTGTTGCCCAGGCTGGAGTGCAGTGGCACAATCTTGGCTCACTGCAACCTCTGCCTCCCAGGTTCAAGTGATTCTCATGCCTCAGCCTCCCGAGTAGCTGGGAATATAGGCGTGTACCACCACGCCTGGCTAATTTTTGTATTTTTAGTAGAGACAGGATTTTGCCATATTGGCCAGACTGGTCTTGACCTTCTGGCCTCAAGTGATCCACCTGCCTTGGCCTCCCAAAGTGCTGGGATTACAGGCATGAGCCAATACTCCGAGCCCTAATTTTATGTTTAATAGACACAATGTCTCACTATGTTGCCTAGGCTGGTATTTAACTCCTAAGCCCAAAAGTGATCCTCCTATCTCAGCCTCCCAAAGTGCTGGGATTACAGGTGTGTCACCACACTTGGCGAAGGATCACTTTTTAATACTCTGCTTCACAATACATATAAAGACAACAGCATCATTTCATCTGACAATTGTGTAAAAATATTATGTAAGCAGCAGGAAATGTCTGTGGAGTGGTATAAAATGCAGAAAGAATGTCATCGGGTGCCCAAGCACTGTGTTCCCACACTGGAGGGGAAACCACCTAGAGGGAAGTTGAAGAGTGGACTGGGATCTCCACCATGGTGCCTCCCCAGGGGGTCTTCAGGAGTAATTTTTAATGTATGTGGGTTTTTGTTTTTGCCTGTGAGCAGACTTCAGACCCCACCTCTCCTGCATAACAACCTTTTTTTTTGAAACAGTCTCACTTGTCGCCCAGGCTGGAGTGCGGTGGTGTGATCTTGGCTCACTACAACCTCTGCCTCCCAGGTTTAAGTGATTCTCCTGCCTCAGCCTCCCAAGCAGCTGGGATTACAGGCGCCTGCCACCATGCCCGGCTTTATTTTTAATAGAGTCGGGGTTTCACCATGTGGGCCAGGCTGGTCTCGAAGGTGATCCACCTGCCTAGGCCTCCCAAAGTGCTGGGATTACAGGCGTTATCCTGCATAACAACTTTGCATGTGCTAGTCTCACTTCAGGGGCAGCTGCCCTCCCTGGCCTGGCTCTCTGTGTGAATCAGCTCAAGACCAATTTCACTTGATAAGAATCCAGTACTCTCCATCTTTTTGCTAGAAAGTTCTGAAGAAGGTGATCCTGTTAGGTGAATCCACCAGGTTCATGAGCTAGAGAGTTGCAAAGGCATCCTTGTGTAGGAAGGTAAAATGGAAATTTCTAAATGGGTGGCAAACCTCCCTCGTGCTTCACCTTCGACCTGGCCACCTTTTCCTCTCATGAATGAAAGAACTTGAAAATGTACACATGTGTATGTAGACTCTTTTCAGTCTTAGAAGTTATGGCCACACTTTATATTAGAAACTCTAGCTGTGAACACATTCATCACTTATAAGTGAGTTATATTAATGGGTGGCCTCAATTATCGGACCCCAAAAGAATGAGGTAGTATAGTATGGTGGTTAATGATCGTCTCTGGTATTTGGGAGATATAGGCTTAAATACCATAGTTCTGCATTTTATTTTTGAGGCAGGGTCACTCTGTCACTCAGGCTAGAGTGCAGTGGCACAATCATGGCTCACTGCAGCCTCAACCACCTGGATCCTCCCACTTCAGCCTCCTGAGTAGCTGGGACTACAGGCACACACCACCACACCTGGCTAGTTTTTTTTGTAGAAATGGGGTTTCGACACGTAGCCCAGACTGGTCTCGAACTCCTGAGCTCTAGTGATATGCCCACCTCAGCCTCCCAAAGTGCTAGGATTACAGGCCTGCACCACGGTGACTGGCCTGCAATTTTTTTAAATCTGCAAGCTTGGGAACATTATTTAAACTAAGCTTTATATTTTTCTCATTTGTACAATGGGATAAGAATCCTACCTCACTGGCTTGGTGTATTTATCAGGGTAATGTACATAAAGGCCTTAGTGTAGCATCCAGCACAGAATAAAGGCTGTTGTTGGCTATTAATAGTAAATAACATTCTCTGAGCCACTAAGATATATCGAGAATCCTGGGTGACAATCATTTTTGCTCAGAGACAACCCATTAGGCCAGAAATAGTTTATGGTGGTGTAGCCATAGCTTTGACAGGGAGAGTCATCTGGTTTCCCAAGATCTAGCTCAACAGGAACCCCTATGACATCATGGCAGAGACAGGCTAGGAACACGCAACTGTCAGTAACAAAAAGGACAATGGATGGAATAAAACAAATCCAACAAAGCAAGGGCTCAATGTCAGGAATCTGAGAGTATTTAGAAAGGGGAAAGGCAGGCCGGGTATGGTGGCTCACGCCTGTAATCCCAGCACTTTGGGAGGCTGAAGTGGGTGGATCACGAGGTCAGGAGTTCAAGACCAGCCTGACCAACATGGTGAAACTCTGTCTCTACTAAAAATACAAAAAAAAAATTAGCTGAGTGTGGTGGTATGCGCCTATAATCCCAGCTACTCAGGAGGCTGAATCAGGAGAATCGCTTGAATCCAGGAGGTGGAGGTTGCAGTGAGCCAAGATCGCGCCACTGCACTCCAGCCTGTGAGACAGAGCAAGACCTATCTCAAAAAAAAAAAAAAAAAAAAGAAAAGCAAGAAAGCGGAAAGGCAACCTTACATTCCTCGAGTCCCTGAAGGCACCACTGCAGTACAGAATAGTACAGTAATTCATGTTGATGGTGAAGTGTGCCTCAGCCTTCCAGAGAAAATTCTCGTATACTCAGCATATAGGCAGAGAACCAGTTTTCTACTATCAGGCAAGCACTTCAAAAAAGGTTAAGATCAACATTTTAGTGCTTGAAGACAGGGAAACTTCAGTCACATGGAAAATCCCCTTAGATAAAACAAATTAGCTTCCGAAAAACTACTAAGTGTCACTATGTTTAAAAAGCTTAAACATTCTGCAAATCAGTGCTGTATAAATTAACCACTACCACCTGCAAAAGACAGTGGCTACTTAACTTTGGTACAAAGAATCAGGGTCAGCTTGCCTGTGATACTTTAATGAGTGAAATGTGTTTTCTGATATGCCCCTTTCAAATCATGATCCAAAGAGGTGCAGTGAAAAACAACAGACAAAACCCAACAACAAACAAGACTTCCCACTTATGCTCTTCTCAGTGATGGAATTTGTGGAGAATCCTGCCCCTCTCTGCACTCGAGATTCCTTGATGGTAAAAGGAAGGAGGCTGGACTAGATGATCTTCAAGGTCCCGTCCAGCTTGGATGTTCCAGGATAAAGTTACCTGACCCAACTAACAGGTACCCAGTGAGTGTCCTTGCTCAGCTTCTCTAAGACCACTATGAGCTGGCTGTAGGCACCCTGGAGATCCTCCTTCACCAGCACGGCGTCCACCAGGTGCCCGTAATGCTGGTCTATGAAGGCGGCAGAAGCGGCCATCTCTTGCTGCTCCTCATCCTGCAAGGAAAGGGGTGGTATGGAGCAACTGGGTTGTTCTCCTATAACAAATCTATAGCCTTTGTCTTGAGCAGCGTTCCAATCTTTAACTTTTTTTTTCTTTCTCTTTTCTCT